CCGGGACGCTCCAACCCTAGCCAGCTCAGAAGTGAGGGCCTTCTTTCCTCTGGACCAAGTCATCCCCCTTCTCTTCTTCCACCCACACCCCAGGCGCGAAAACAACACACGTCGCGGGAGTCGGTGGGCTGGCATCGGAGCCATCGGAGCCTGGTGCGTAAAATGACGGTGCTGAGCGGTTCATTTCCTTTTACTGTGCAGTAAACAAGGCGTCGAACACGCTCGTTACTCGTGCGATGTTACCAACAGACGTGAGCTAAATTGCAAAGGCACCGGTGGTCGAGCATAACAAGACTCTTCAGGTCCGCTGCTTTAAGGGGCCAGGTTTCACAACCGTACAGTAGGGTCAAACGTACCGCTGTATTGTACACCCTACCCTTCAGGGCAGGAGTGATGTCGCGCCGGCGCCGTAAGTGGCGAAGATTAGCAAAGGCGCCCCGAGATTTTGTAATACGGTTCGTGATCTCATCCTCAATCCCACGGGCGCTGATACAACTTCCTAGGTAGTTGAATTTTTGAACGACTTCTAGCTGATCCCCACCAAGGGTCAACGTAGGAGGCGGTCCAGACCAACCTTGGAGGAACGCTTTGCACTTCGAGGGTGCGAAGCAAAGCCCGAAGTGACGGACAGCTAGTGCTAATCTGTCCAGTGTCGCTTGGCACGTTTGTGAGCTGTCACAGATCAGGGCAATATCAGCAGCATACTCCAAGTCAAGAAGTCGTTCTCCTGGGAGTAGCTCCACACCTTCTAAATAGTGTCCTGTAAATGGTATATCCAGGACTTCGTCGATAGCGAAGTTGAAGAGGAATGGTGACAGCGGGCATCCTTGTCTCACGCCGCTGAAAATATTAAGTGGGCGATGACAACTTGCCGTAACCCCTCACTCTGCCTGAGCTACACGCAAATAATGCTCGGACAGTATTCACGTATTTCACAGGTACACCTTTCCTGAGTAGACAGTCCCGAAGTGCATGCCTATCCACCGAATAGAATTCACTTCCGATATCGAGGTACACGACAACGGTGGGCCGCCAATATATGTGATGGTGCTCCAACAGCTGACGCAAGGTGAAGATGTGGTCAATGCAGCCACGACCTCGACGAAATCCAGCTTTCTCTTCACGAATCTGGCTTTCACGAGTGCCAGTCAGTCTGTGAAGGATGACAGAGGCAAGCACTTTGGAGGCGATGGAGATCAGACTGATTCCTCTATGGCTGCCGCATTCCGATCGTGAGCCTCCTTTGAAAATTGGGACTATGATGGAGCGGCTCCAATCGGTTGGGACAGTTTCCTGCTCCCACAGTCTCACTAGTAACCCGTGTAAATCATCCACAAGAGCAGGTCCCCCGAATTTGAAGAGGGCGGGAGGAAGGTCATCAGGTCCCGCAGCTTTATTTAACTTCAACAGTGCGATCTCACGTTCAGCTTCTGAGCAAGAGGATGGATCCAAAGGGACAGCCCAAGGAGCGGGGCAATCAGTGGCCGGCGAGAAACCCGACCATTCCGACCGATTAAATTGCCGTTCAAAGTGCTCAGACCAACGATCCAAGCGTTTTGATAATTTGTGGATAGGCTGTCCACTTTCGTCACGTATAGTTTCATTAACACCAGGTTTCCTGCTGCCCGATTCCCACATCAGACGGAATAACTATCGATGGATACCAAGGGTAGCGGCCATTTCCACCTCTGATGCACGATGAGACTACCAGGATTCGCGGTCTCTCTTCAGGCTAGCACGGAGTTTTGCTCGGAGCTCTTTGGGAATTTCATCCTGTTCGCTTCCAGGTGGAATACGCCGGCGAGCATTTATGAGTTCCAGGGACTGTGAAGAGACCCAATGTCCATGTTGCTATTTGACATACCACATGAACATTTTCCTGCTGTTAATAACGTCTGGTGAATATGAGACCAGTGACTTTCAACTGCATCCAGCGAGCGTTTATCTAACTCGCATGACAGCGTACCATGATAGGCATTCAGAACAGTTGGCTTTGCCAGTAGGCTTGTGTCAATGCGCACAGCACGTCGTCCTGGACTTCCGCCAAAGCGCATCTGCAGGTCAGCACATAGATGTGAATCTCGGTATCCACACCCGTGCACCAAATCACGCGACAGTTCTGAACCCAGCCTCTCCATCGCTAACTTATCGCAATGCGAGCGATTTGCGTCCATTCATGATTCGAGGCTAGTGGACGCCAAGTCACCCTCCGGTGGGTGTCGTGGCTGCAATTGGTGCTCGCACGAAATAAGCGAGCATCCTCACAAAACTGAAGTAAGCGCCCACCGTTAGCATTACAGAAGCCTATAACACGTTGGCCGCCCAGATGCAGCTCATCTGTGGATAATTTTCCAACTTGAGCTATCAGATCCCCAGCCAGCACAACAATGTCCGAGCTTTTTCTGTGGCGAAGGAGCTCGTGCAGTTGACGAGGGGAGTCGTCTTTTACCGAGTCATGTCTACAGTTTGTCGGTGCATAGGCAGCGATAGCGAATAGACATCTGTTAATCCCGCGTGATTTCGAAGATTTAAACGAGCCAGCTAATCGGACCGTACACATCCGGCTGCTGACTGGAATCCAATCAACCAGAGCAGCTTCAGCCCGGGGACTCAGGGCAATACCAACACCGGCTTGACCGGTGCTTGAAGCTGCATCGTCGCCGTATAGGCGCAATGAGAAAGTGCTGCCGGCGTCACCTGAAGGGATCGCAGAGTGAGTACAAAGTTCGAGTCTTGCAGGCGGGTCTCTGATAAGCAGCAGATATCGATCGATTGGGTCTCTAATTTTCGGGCAATTGCTGCCTGTTGGCCGCACTGAAGCAATGTGCGAACGTTGATGCATGCCAATTTGAAGGAGGATCGTGGGCTCCAAATGGAAGCCGATTAAATGGAATGGGCCGCTTGCTTGGACATAAATAAATAAATAGATAAATAAATAGTTTATTCTCGCCATTACGAGGCTAACCATCATGGTCGTGATCATGGTAGTACAGACATGTATGATCGGTAGTTGCACAAATTAGTACATTTTGACCAATAGTATAGGAATTTTGTGTGTTGCGATGTAAAACCATGTTTAATTGTGTATTTGGAAGGGGACATGTTGTGTGAGTAGGTAAATGGGGCTGTGTGCGCTTTTGCTCGTTGTGTTCGCCATCAAAGGGGGGATTCAATGGAACGCTTTGAATCGGATGACGTTGGTTATGTGAGAATGATCCTCCGGAAAGGGGAAGAGGCAGTGACCAAATTTAGTGGCGGGTCACATCTGCCACGTCACAGAGTTGTTAAACAGAGACTTGTGGCTATATATTGGGAGAACGCTTGCCAGGTGAAATCCCACCACATCCTGAAACACTGACGCCGAAACATTTGCTGGAACGGAATTTACCGGAACCACCCAGCTGGCACCACGCGGAGGTTGTTCGGCCAGCCAGCCAGCCTATTGACAGGACAGGACTGACGCTCCGCGTTCACACGTGAGTTGAAAATAAAAGACAAACGACTATTGAAGAAAGATGGGGGAGGGCCGGTAACTGGGGGTTAAAAACTGGGGGATAAAAGTAAAGCTGGAGCGGGACGAGAAGGGGGAAAAGCGCAAGAGAGGGAATAAGACGACGGGAAGGCTTGAGCAGTAGCATCCAAACCCCATCCACCCTACCCGATGCAGCAGATAGGGCGCCGTTGATTATCTTCTGCGGTGGCCAGAGCACCAGGAATTTGTCTGAATTGAGGTTCATTGTATAGCGTGGGCAGAATACTGTCAGGTTGCCCAGGCCTAGAAAGGAGAAAGATTAGGGTTTTTAACCAAAGCCTTTGGTTCAAAAACCTGACCGCAAGGCAGCGGGTTGGGCACTGGGCTACAAGGAGTCCGTTTTAGGGAATAAGGAGCCACCCTTATTCCAACCCAAACCTGCAGGACCAGGAGGCTGAGTTTGTCTGGCCTCTACCCATTGATCAATTTGGTATGAGTGACTCTGAAGGTGCAAAAATGCATCACCCAGCATAACTCAATGGATCACTGAGGCACACAGGCCATCGCACTACGGTAAGGCCCAGCGTTATTGTGATGGTCAAGTAAAAATCACAAACTGTAAGGTATTATAGCAGATTTGTTCGGTCTCTATAGCCTCAGGCGCGTCCTGCCAAAATAAAAGATCAGTATAAGGCGAATATATGAGCGAGATCAAAGCTTATTATTGAAACGTACAGGCCTGCTAGACGAAGGGTACCGTAGCATAGTTCCGGCTAGAGGAATGTTATAGTCCTAAGCCAAAACGCTGCGAACGCTTTTCGTGAAGTAAAGCCGGAATCACGCGAAATGTGCTTCGTCTGGTTGATTCAAACACATGTGGTCACCGTTCAAACAGGTCATCTCCATAAGTTGTTTAGGTACAAACAGCTTTTTTATTGGAATACTTTTTTACGCCTCGTACCCAAGCACACAGGGGCATCTCCAGGTCGTTCCAGTGTCCTTAACATATATAAGGATGGCAAGTTCTGATGCAAAATTTGCTGGTCCTGTCCTAGTGTCAATGGCCTGATGGTACTCTAGCAGCATAACCCAAGTTCTTTTGTTGGAGTTTCGATAACAAATCCATTTCACTGTCCGTTTAGATGCCTCTGGATAAGCACAAAAATACAGTAGACAACTGTTCTCCAGGCATGTTCGGGGCGTTACTTTATCGCTATCCCACTTTTGTAACCTTAAAGCGGTTGTTGCGAAATCTTTGGGTTAGAATAAGGATCAATGCCACCAGTAGGCGAAAGTACCAATTAAAATAAAATTCGCGCCCTTCAAGACGCGCCCAGACATGGTATTGTCATCTTAGCTGTAGCCAAGGTTACACTTTTTTGTCATCTATGACTTAGTATTGCTTTATTTTCCCCTTCAGCTCGTTACGCGGAATCCAGTGTCGCCCTTGGATCTTGACCAGAGCTGTCTTAACCTTGACCTACTTGTTCTGTTCTGCGTTTAGAGGTTTCTCATTTTTCCTCATCGAATGGATCGAATTCTACGGCTGAGCGCTGATGGACTGGCTGCTTTGGGGCAACCTAGTGCACAGCCCACCGATGGTCCTGTTCCCGATACTGCCGAACAGGTTTACATTAGTAGCCTGGCTCTACTGAAAATGTTGAAGCACGGGAGAGCAGGTGTTCCTATGGAGGTGATGGGTCTTATGCTTGGTGAGTTCGTGGATGATTACACAGTCACTGTTGTGGACGTCTTCGCCATGCCGCAGTCTGGAACTGGGGTCAGCGTGGAAGCAGTTGACCCTGTATTTCAAGCAAAGATGCTGGATATGCTGAAACAGACAGGACGGTACTCACTTTCTCGTAGCTATTACTTGCAGACCCGAGATGGTTGTTGGTTGGTATCATTCGCATCCAGGCTTCGGCTGTTGGCTCTCGGGAGTTGATATGAATACGCAACAGAGCTTCGAAGCCCTTTCTGATCGAGCCGTGGCTGTTGTGGTCGATCCTATCCAAAGTGTCAAGGGGAAGGTGATCGTCATACTTCACCTCTCACCGTGCATTTCAGGTCGTTATTGATGCTTTCCGACTTATTAACCCTAACTTTCTTATCGCTAATCAGGAGCCCAGACAGACAACCTCAAACGTTGGGCATCTAAATAAACCGTCCATCCAGGCTCTGATTCATGGGCTTAATCGTCAGTACTACTCGTTGCCCATTAACTATCGCAAAAATCAATGGGAAACTAAAGTAAGTTGCTACAGTTTTATTTCACTATCAGATGTTAATGGATCTAAATAAAAACACGTGGAAGGATGGGTTGGCTTTAGAAGATTATGAGTTGCATTCAAAGAATAACCATAAAAATCTCACCGGCATGCTTGATTTAATCAAGGCGTACCATAAGGTTACCTGAGTTTTCTGATCTCATTACTTGCCAGTCACTTGAGGAAGAGGAGAAAATGACCGCTGAGCAGCTGATAGTGAAGAATGTTGGCAGAATGGTAATCAGTTTGCTCAGCAATTTGTTTATTTTTTCGTCCTTGTAGGATCCCAAGCGACATCTTGGGGAAAATGTGGAGGGTTTAATGACGTCAAACATTGCTCAATGTGTTGGAACTATGCTTCATTCAGTTGTATTTACCTGAGTAATGAAATATATCGTCTAAATAGAGGTCGTCTTGTGTTCTCCCACCTGTGTGCGTACATTTTGCGCATCTCCGATTATCTTTTAGCTTTGATATGAGCAATGACGAGCTAACGGAGGAGCAACGTTTGCTGATAGAGGCCAAACGGAAAAAAGCTCTTGAATCTCGTAATCATGGACAAGTAGCGGTTGGCTTTCGCCAGACAATTTCGAAGCAACTTCCCGTTATGCCACTAAAAGAATCGAACCGCACGTCCTCTAGCATTCTCTTTAGAAGGTAAGAGCCACACCCTAGCATTTTTTGATAACAATCATTTTTATGATCGATTGCAAGCGATACCATATGCTTTACTTATACGGCATTTGCTTTTTTGCATTGCACCAATCGATCGATGCCCTTCTGTTAACTTGCTGCAGCTGGTATTTTATTGCGTGAACAATGAACAAAGCATCAGAGTCGAAAGGTGTCACAGTAGATGAAGAAAGTTTCTGGTCAGTGGCGGCCCTACTACAGTTGTCACTACAAATTGTGCTCATACTCGTCTGTTCTGTTCGATGTTACCAACGAATTGTTGAACCACTCGGTCGCCAGTGCTATTCTTTAAGCGTCACTTCGCACCGATTGATACGGCTGACTACTTCCCGTTGTATGGTCATTGTTATGCGTCATTGCCGTTCTCGCATCTCCTCTCTTGCTTCCCAAATTGGATCTGTTCTGAATGCTCTTCTAGTGCGCATTGACCACTGCATCATGCATTGACTTGTGTAACCTCGTTACGTTTCTCTAACATCTTCAATGACACCAAACCGTTCACCGGTTGGGAGTTGGGAGATCTTACTCCCAGTTTCACTCGGCCGGTGGCCGAGTAGTCTGCACGCCTGGCTTGCATTCATAAAGTCACCGGTTAGAATCCGCGTAGCGACGGTATACAGTCCACACGCAACTGGTGGCGGTCGCGCGACAGCGAAGCGCCGATACGACGTACAGCCGACACATTAATATTGTTTTCTACTCAGTTTCTGAATGAACGACTAGAGAAACGCCGACATTACACCCCATCAACCTTCATAGACATAACTCCCCGGGTCACGGCCTTTTTGTGGGGGCTGAACAATCGCCCCACGCGCTTGCTCTGTTGATGCAATGACAACTACCCGAGCCGAGTGACCCTCAGTTTGTAATGTGCACGCCCAGCGGGACTTCCCTTCAGCTACGTTTTTCTGATACTTATAGTAAGATACACTCTAATTACTGACGTACCTTGCCCAAGCCTTCTAAGATTTGTGCGCTAGCCCCAAGCAGATCTTTACAAGCTCTTAGATTCACATTTCCTATCTGAACCTGCCCCTCTACTTTATGAGCCAGACCATTGTATCAGCGGCTGTGTGTAGTTCCACAGTCAACAATCAACAACAGCAGTACATCAGTCATTTGGACTGATGCTTCGCTGCCATACAACCATGATGACCTATGGGACGCCATTCCTCAACAACCAGTGCCACAATCCAGACCTGTCGACAGAATCGAAGGCAGCGCGGATATCCAGTAACACGACAATCGTTGGTTTTGGCTACACGTGCCGTGGCTCTAGGATCTGGCGGAGTGTGAAGATTTGATCGATGCAGCCGTGGCCAGGGCGGAACGCAGCCTGTTCTTCCCACTGTAGCGATTCACGCTCTGGAGGTAGTCTTCGAAGTATGAGGGACACCAGAACCTCATGTGGTGAATCCAATAAACAATGTAGACATTGGGTGTTTTTGCAGTCTGTGGAGCTTAGTGATGCTCACCGGCACATCCCAGCTGGAAGCGACCACAATTAGACTCATAAAGATCTTATGGGAAAACTCTGTGCTATGCTGAAGAGAGACTGTGAGTCCTGCTGATTTCATCGTACGTCAGAGATGGAAGTGTCCGCTGCCTTTGGTAACCATCGGAAATTAATCTGTCTGATACAGGAAACGGGCAGCAGGATACATGGTCTTAGTGAAACTATGTGTAACAGAGTGAAGAGCCTATCCACAACTTGTCAACACGCTTGGAGCGTTGGGCCAAGCACTTGGGAAGGCAATTTAATCGGCCGGGGTTGTTAGATTCCTCACCGGCCAGTGATCGCCCTGTTCCGTGAGCTGTCCCTTTGGATCCACCCTTTCGCTCAGAAGTCGAACGTGGGCTCTGACTATTGAACTTGAATAAAGAGTGGAATAAAGCTGCGAGACCAGATGATTTTCATACAGCCCCCTTTAAATTCGGGGCCCTGCTCTTGTTGCTAGTTTACCCGAAATACTAGTGAAACTGTGAGGGCATAAAACTGTCCCGACGGAGTGGAGCCACTCCGTCATAGTCGCAATTTTCGAGGGAGGCTAACGATCTTGATGCGGCAGCCATAAAGAAATCAGCCTGGCCTCCATCATCTTTAAATTGTTTACCTTCGTCCTCTTTCACGGACTGATTGACCCACCGTTGTCGTGTTCCTCGACAACAAAGATGCCCTCGATTCGTTTGATCTATGTGCGCTTTTGGAATGTCTAATCAGGATAGCTATGCCCGATCGGTCACAATCACAAATACAGCAGCACATCCACAAATCCAAGCACCCATTTTGCTACGGAGATATACACTCATACATACAGATATTCATGTAAACTTGTAACGTTCATTCGTGTAGTTTTGTCCTGGTCATGCCTATGCTGGTGCGCCCCCTATTGTCGAAAATATATCATTTATTTATATTTGTGCATGAACTGATTCGTCCCGAAATTCTCCTGGGAACATTTGTCTGTGTTGATAAGCTTACTGTGTGTGGCAAAGATTTTATATAACATGAGAAAAACCTTTAAAGCGTCGTTGGAAAGTATGCAATGACTCTAAACCGTAAAAAAATGCATAGTTGCGACAAAGGAAGTTTGATCGTTTGCTTATGAGATTTCGTTAGGCACAGTGAAACCGGACTCTGATCGCTTTAAGTCGCTACTAATGCTACCTCCGCCGACACCAAAGGGTAGCCGAGATGTTCACCCACTACTCCCAGTGGTTCTGACACTTTTCGGATAAGATCCATCCACTCGTTCATAGTATGACTTCCACTGTCACATAATGTTTTAGACGCGTCCGGGAATTTGGAGGCAGAACTAGTCGAGGCAGTCGTAATCGCTGCTGACAGCAACATAACATTAGTGAGTGAGGTTGACGCATCAGATGTCACTATTACCGCAACACTCAATCAGGACGATCGATCGGTCGCATTTTTCTCACCAACGTTGACTGATAATGAGCGAAACCACCCTACCATGAAAAAGAGACCTGAGCCATCGTGGAAGCTAGCAGAAAATGGCGGCGCTATCTACGCGGAGTCACTTTAAACTGATAACTGACCAGTGCTCAGCTGCCTTCATGTACGATACGAAGTTTTGAGGAAATATTAAAACAGATGCAATCCAGAAATTTCATATCGAGCTCTAAATTCTCTTACGATGTGATATATCGATATGGTACCAAGAATTCCGCAGCGAACACTCCATTCTTTGGTTGTACATAGAGTAGTTCGAGCGTGGATTGCTGATTCGTACGAAGGACATCGAGAAAATAATCTTATACGCTGCTGGTGAGGGAAAATGAGCGATTATCGCTTAACAAGCGTATGAAACAAAAACGACCAAGAAATTTGTAAATGTAAAGTAAGCTTGTGTTTCCATGATTCTGCTGCATCGGAAGCGTTTGGGCCTGTCTCAAAGCGTTCGGATCGCAGAAGCCGATCCATTTCTAGTGATCAAATTGTGAGAATGATTGGGATCCACCAGACAGATTGAACGTATTTTGACTGAAAAGACGTAAGCCTGAGAGTTAGGCTTTAACCATCTAGAAACTTCGGTACGCAAGCTACAATAGAACAAACGATAGTTCATAACTCCAAATAGAAAACAGTAGTTTACAGTAGCACTGGAAGCAGTAACAACTTGAAGATGCAACTTCGCGTCACTCCTCTTCTCTTAGGTGTTGGCTCTACGTGACCAAGCTGGTGGTTTGCCAATCAGGCTTGGCTCAGACACTCGCGGCCGCATGCGCTGCAACACTATGCGCTTGATCTCGGTGGGCTAGACCCCGCCTGTGCCTGTCACTTCTGTACACAGCGTTTCTTTTCCGCATGCAATAGTTCTTCCTCCTGCATCTGGACAACTATCCTCTTGATATGCTTACGCCATTCGCGCCGATCAACTGCCTTTAATTCCCAACACCTAAAATCAATCTTAATTTGCGATAAACTCGCATTAACCATACTCTGTTAAAGTAACTTCGGCTTTCCCAAGTGCCGCTTCTTTTCAGGCAGTTAACCGTCAAGCAGGTATTTCGGTATCCGCGTCGGTTCTATGCGGCGGACATGCCAGATTCACCTCAGGTATCTCAGCAGAAGTATGCAGTCCATTTGCATACATGCCACCGTGACGGAGCACCCCCATGACAGCAACTCGTTCATCTCAGGCTGTGCGCAGAACACGACGTAAGCATTGTTGTTGAAACATCATACATCATTCCGGTACAGCGTCCAGATTTCATTACCGTATAGAAAAACAGACAGCACCATAGACTTGTATACCATCAGCTCAATCCACGTTTTTACTACTTTCCAGATGCGGCAGCCGCCTTCGATACTCGGATACGCTTGTCATCTGCAAGTCGATAGACACTACGTTTCCTACATAGCAAAATCTCGAAGTGGTTCCAAAACCTTGTTGCCAATGTGAATCTGCGGCTGGCCCACGGATTCGATTTCTGCGGAAAGCTAAAAAGTTCAGACTGCCTTGTTTGTGTTGATGGCTATCCCGAAGTGAGCCACAGTCGAAGCGAGAGCCGAAGTCATGGCTACAACTCATCCGCGCTATGTGCAAGCAACGCACAGCCGTCAGAAACCAACGTACGGATGGTTGTCTCACACTATAGGATTCTCGCCTCGTAACGACGGATGTCCGGCAAACCACTATCAATACGGTGCTCTACACGGACTTCATGATCACAAGCAGCATTGATACACAAGACATCATTGCATTTAAGTAAATCTTAAGCAGGGTAGGAAATGAAAATGAAATGAAATGTCAGCTTATACGCCGTAACGACGCTTCGCTGCCGCGCGACCACCACTAGTCGCGCGCGGGCTGAGTATACCGCGAGGACGCCCACCCCTACGCGGATTCGAACCGGTGATCTTATGGTTGGAAAGCAAACATCTGTGGAGAATGACAGAGGCAAGCAATTTAGAGGCAATCGAAATCAGACTGATCCCT